TCTTCTTCTTCTTCTTCTTCTTCTTCTTCTTCTTCTTCTTCTTCTTCCTCTTCCTCTTCCTCTTCCTCTTCCTCTTCCTCCTCCTCCTCCTCTTCTCTTCCTCCTCTTCCCCCCTCCCCCTCCTTTTCCTCTTCCCCCTCCCCTTCTTCTTCCTCTTCCTCTCCTCCTCCTCCTCCTCCTCCTCCTCCTCCTCCTCCTCCTCCTCCTCCTATTTTGGAAAAGGCTCTGCCGCTGCTGCTGCTGCTGGCATATTCCTGCAGTGAGGCAGCCCCTCCTGACAGCCAGAACAGGGAGGCACATGACTGCCGCTTGTATTTCATCTCCCTTGAAGTTTCCAGCCGTGCTGGATGCCTCATCAACTCCCACTTGGCAGAACCCCAAGCTCTGACAGGGAAAAGCACATTTTGTCCGACTGGAGCTCCCGGTGGCAAAGGCCACAGGCGTCCTGCAAAGAACCAGAGCAAGAGAGGGGGGAAATTGCAGCGATGATGTGTTTGGATTCCTTTTGGGGACCCTCCTAGGGGGTCTCTGGGAAGTGTTGAGCTGGGCAAGGCACCTTCCTTGGCCCTGGGTGCCTCCAACCTCCCTCAGTGGCTCAGCCAAGCATCCCTTTCGCGCTCGTCTTAAGGCCATTCAGAAAAGCCCCGGGTTCTGTGTGGATTAGGCTGGAGACGTCGATCGAAATTCTCAGTCATGCAGGCCATGCCTGTCCTAAAGATGCTTTTTCAAATGTCCAGCTGTCTGCAAGGAGTCTCGATGCTTCCTTTCCCCACTATTAAGTCAGAGCTGATGATGCTTCCTGGATGAGAAGCATAATGTCTTCAAAGAAAAGCCCAGAAGGTCCAGTAACCCCTTGAAAAAAAGCTGAGAATCTCCATAGACATTTATACTCCTTGCAGACAGCTGATCATTTGCATCCTTTTAGAGAGGCGTTGAGGCCACTTGGAGGTTTCTCTGTGTCCTCAGGGTCACCTGAGTGGTGCCAATGGGGGTGTGGAGCCTTCTTGGAACCGCTGAAAGGACCGTGTTGAAGACTGGAGATAGATGACATCATATCTCTTCCCCCCCTCCCCCCATTGAGAGAGGGATGTTCAATTTGGATGTAGGTGGCCTCTGACCCCTCTTTCAAACCAGCCTGAGTCCTCTGGTGGCCTCAACGGCTCTCCAAAAGGATGCAAACGACCACCTGTCTGCCAGGAGTATAAATCCTTCCCTTCCCCACCAACCAGTCAGAGCTGGAGAAGCTTCTTGGGTGAGAAGCGAAACGTCTTCAAAGACAAACAAAAAATAAGGAAGTCCTGTCGCCTCCTGAAAAAGCAGCCCTGGGATTAGACGGAGGGAACCTGGAGGGTGCTGGCTGCAGGATCTGGCCGGCGCAGAATGAACCGCCGTTTCTTGTACAGCTTAAGCATGAAACAAACACACACACACACACACCCCCGAGCCTTTCAACCTTTTCTCTCTCTCTCTCTCTCCTTCCTCGATGTTTTCTCAGCCCGGATGCTGCTGACAGCACCACCTTCGATGTTCAGCTGGGGGACATCATCCTGACGGCCACGGATGGGCTCTTTGACAACATGCCCGACTACATGATCCTCCAGGAGCTGAAGAAACTAAAAGTAAGAGGAGACGACCTCGCAGGGAAGAGGCCCCCGACCTTGGCCCCTTGAAGACTTGGGGACTTCCAACTCCTAGAATTCCCCAGCCAGCCACGCCTGCTTTCTCTCTCTCTGTCTTACTCTCCTAAAGTGGAGAGAGATTGCAGAGGAAGGGATTGCAAGAGAGTTAAGCTATGCTGGCTGGAGAATCCCACCAGTCTTAAGGCGGCCGAGCTTGGAGACCTCGGCTGCAGTGAGTCCCACCATGGAGAAATTAAAAACGCACAAGATAACTTTTCCCCCTGTTGCCTCGGCGTTAAATGGCCGGGTGCAACCAGATCTCGGTGGGTTTGGCGAAATTCCCCGCTCCTCTCTGCTTCGTGAGTCTGTGACCTTCTGAACTTCTTCTCCTCGGGGTTCAAAGGTACAAATCCGGAGAAGCCGAGTAAAAGTTTAAAAGTTGAGGGCAGGTTTATCTTTTAATCTACTCTCCGGGCATCCCCTGTAATTCCTAAAGCAGGCCAGCTGCTATGGGAGAGCTTAAAAATCTGCTTTGCGGGATTGCAGGATCCACTCAAATTGGCCGCCGTAGAAGGAGCCGGGATTTGTCCGTGGTTTGTTTAGCCTTTTGACTTCCCCAAGGTGGACCCGCCTTGCAGGAAAAGGCAATCCCTTTGTGTTAGCGGTCCTGTTGTACTGCATGCTTGTTGACAGGTGAAATAGACAAGCCCGTTGAAGTCCTCTCCCCCCCTCCTTCCACCCAGAACTCAAATTACGAAAGCATCCAGCAGACGGCCAGCAGCATCGCTGAGCAAGCCCACGAGCTGGCCTACGATCCAAACTATATGTCTCCCTTTGCACAGTTCGCATGTGACAATGGACTGAATGTACGAGGTAAGAGCGACGGGAGCAGCCAGGAGTCGAGGCTCCTGCAGGGTTGGGTTTCTTCCAAGGGCTCCTCCACAAGGCCACGTGGGCTAGAATTAAGCTTGCAGAAGTGTGCAGAACTGAGAGAAGTTGGTAGCTCCTGTGCTACTTTCTCCTTAGTTCTTGGTTGGTTCTCGCCTTGATTGGTTTCCACCCACTGCTGTCATGTCATGCCATGACCTTCTTTTCACTAGACCAGCCAGGCCCAATTCCTGCAACCGTCCTTCGTATGTTGTAGCCTCTTCGTTGCTCTTTTCAGAGTCTCAATATCCTTTTATAATACTTTAAAAACTTCTCCACGCCTTGCTTTTTAGGTGGGAAACCCGATGACATCACTGTTCTTCTCTCTATAGTAGCTGAATACACAGACTGACCAGCTGTGACACCCTGCTTTTAAAGACTGGTATGTCTCCAGCTGTTCTCAGCTTCACACGCACTTATTTTCCTGCGGGCAGGAAGTCTCTCTCTTTCTCTGCATCTGACCTCAGTGGCTAATCACACCTTAGGCCCGTTGCCTGTTTCAAGATGCAGTCAAGACCCCTGGCCCAAAGACCTCAGCTGGAGGACACCTGGGGACACCTCCAAGCAAGAAATGAAGAATTTTCAATACTTGAAGCCTGTCTTTCAAAACTGACTCGAGAGTTATCGCGTAGAAAGCGGGGTGGGGGAAAGGGGGCTGAAGAGGGAATAACCTTTACTTATTATGGCTCTGAAGAAAAGGCGAGCAAACAAGAATGTCAAATTGGCTCTGCGTAGTGTTCAAACTAATTCTGGGGAAGGGGCCTTTTTTTTGTTCGTTCCAAAATCGGCAAGCAGAACCTCCGTGAGGTCCTGAGAAAGGTATTGCTGGAAAAAGCCCCATTTCTCAACAGCGGCAGGTCAACGCGTCCTTAACATGTTGGAAAACTTGCGTTTGCCACTGAATTCTCCATAGGCTTTCCAAGTGCAGCGCTCGATACATTTTGACCTGGGTGACTTGAAAGTTGTGCTGGGTGGGTGGGGATTCTGGGAGTTGTAGTCCGCCCATCTTCAAGTCACCCAGGTTGAAAAATATTGGGTCTGTGTGATGTTAGCCAGGAGCTTTTGTTACTCAATTTGGAACGCACAACTCGTCTTGAATTGTGGTGCGCATGTGCGAGAGAGAGAGAGAGAGTTTGTGAAGGTGCTAAACCGTTATTATACCTGGCATGGCCACGGGGGGCCCTTTCGTAGCTCGAGTTTTTCTGCCAGGTCATCGCCTGACTCTCTTCAGTTGCAGAGAAGCGTCGAGGGAGGTTGAACCCCGGTTCTGAGTTGGGGTTCCAACAGCAGCCGTCACGCTGCGCGAGCAAAACCCGACTGGGCAGCCTTTGTATTTGGGTGGTGAGTTTGGGTCCTCGAGAAAGTCCATGTTTACAGGGCTCTAATTGCTAATTGGCAATATCGTAGAATTGTATTGTTATTTTTTTTTTCCGCATCGACACACACTCAGTTCGATTTTCTCAGTAGCTATAAGTTCCCCTAGCCCGTTTTTCTAAGCTTGTGTTAAAGAAACAAAAAACAGCTGTTTTTATTTATACATAACGCCTAGAGGTATGTATAAAAATCTCGGTCAGTTTTTCATAATGTGTGTTTTTTTTTTTTTTGGTTGTTGTTCTTGCCTGCAGGAGAAACAGAAGTCCTTTGCAACAAAAAGCCATGTTTTATACAGCAAGTTGGGTCACATTGATGTTTAGTTGATAATCTCGGCGAGTAAAAACAACCGTCCTTTTTTTAAAAAAACAAAACAAAAAAAAACTCACAAAAAAGGGGTTTTTTTTACTGCCAGGTTTATTCTGTTAAAACTGTACGTTTGAGGTTACCTCAGCCTGTTTTAAATATTATTTTTTTTGGTGGTTGTACTGTACATTTGCATAATTGTCTCCGGCTTTTATTTATAATTTAACATGTACCGTGTACATGTGGCTCGTTTCAATGCATCCTGCTTCTAACAGGCATTTCATTTGCGACGATAAGGGGCAAAAAATAATAATAATAACTCATTTTTTAGAAGCTGTTCCAAGCCAACTTTTCCAGGTTTCTTTTAAATCACCTTTTTTTTTCCTTTTGTCCAGATTGCCTTAACAACGTAGCTTGACAAAACTGATCGGTTTGGGGGGTTACGGATACAGGGTGGCATACAGTGAATGGATGAAAATGGCATAATAGTTAAAAAAAAAACACGGCCCATTATAACGTTGTACAAACCATTTCAACCCCCCTTCCCCTCATCCTAACCTGAACCAGCTGGACCTAAATACCTTCTGCTAGAAATTGTATATCAGTAGGTCTTTATGCAACCCCTTTCCCGCTTCGTTGGAGGGGCAGGTAAGCTCTTAATTGGGAATTTGCATTTTGCTGGTGCCATCTCTTATTTGGAGCAAAACCCTGAGGAGCTACTGTCTCTCCCCACCGTTTTTCCCATTGTCCTGGGTCTCCTAGAGGCCATCAAGCAGGGGTTATATTCTCGCTGCCGTCTTCTTTAGCCTTTCTGCAATTGTTGGCTGACTAGGAAGGGGGAAGGTGCTTTAAAACACCGTTGCTCGACCCGGGCAGCTTTTTAAGAAGGTTGGACTGCGACTCCCAGAATCCCCCTGCCAGCTGTGAGGAATTCTGGGAGTTGAAGTCCACCCTTCTTAAAAAGCTTGCCAAGGTGGAGCCACTCTACTTTAGACATAGCAATGGGATTCCTACGCCTTGGGGGGCTTATCCTTGGTTTTGTTTCCTTTAAAGCAATTTCTACTCTTCGCGGTATCCGTAAAGCCATTTATTTGTTCCTTAGGACCATTTTTTTTTAAAAAAAATTGGTTTTCAAGCCATGGTCAAATTGAATATTTAAAACTTGCCCCCCCCCCCATCCTTTCTCCCCTTTGGGACACCAAAGACCCCCGTGGAGTTTATAGCTTTCCGGCCATCTGTTTTTTAAAAGCAATACTGTGCTATAAAATTCTATTGCATGCTTGAGATCTCCCCCCCCCCACCTTCCTTCCCCCCGTTTTAAGATGAGCCTTCAATCCCAACAGACCCTGATTTCTTCCTTGGGAACTTAAAAGCTGTCTGCGCACAAGAGTTTTATTTTTTTACAAAAAAGGAAAAGAAGAAGGAAGAAAAAAACCCCCACAAAGGAAAGGAAAAAGCGAGTGATCTTCACGCCTGACCCTCCAAGCCGGGGCTGCTTCTTACTTGGGGCGGCCAACTGGGGTTAGGAATTGGCACGTTCCATTTTCCTTTCTTTAAAATTGGGGATACCTGGATGGAGGAGAGATAGACCCCAACCTTCTTTTTGGGGGAGGGCATGTGTGAGAGACCCCTCTGGTTCATGGGAGCAGGGGTCGGCCTTCTGAAAATGCCCGCCATTGCGGTTTCAGGTGCAACGAGGTAGGGTGGGGGCTCGCATCTTGGGCTCCGTTTCCTTTGGTGGCGGCCGTGCGATCCAGAGCTGGGTTCCCCACCCGATCTCTGTTGCAAAGATCAAGTGGGGAAAAAAAGAAAGCAACTTGGAATCTGGGACTGGAAGGGGAGAGGGATTTTAAAAAAAGGAGGTAAAAAAAACCCGTCCACGAGGAAGCGGAGATCAGAAATCGTGGGAATGGCTTTTCCCACCGCGGGGAAAGCAGACGCGATCCAGACCCCCTGGGTTTTTGCATTTTTAATTTTTTTTTAATTATTAATTTCCTTCTCCTGACGAGGGTAGCTGATCTAATGAGGATGCCATTTTTTCTTGTTAAATGAGACTATCGTGACCTGTAACTTACCTTTTTTTTTTTTTTTTAAAAAGGAAATTTTAATTATGTGAATTGAATGTCTGGAGTATAATTTGTGCGAGAATAGTTATCTGTAAATACATTTAAATGAACTGTAAAGATATTTAATAAATATAGTATTTATACAATATACGGGGGGCTTCCTTGAATTGTGTCTGTCGAGACAAGGTTGTGGTTGTGTTGTTGTCTTTCCACACCCCTCTATTTCGATCAGTGCTTCCAAACTATGACAGCTTGAAAATGTTTGGACTTGAACTCCCAGAATTGGGAGGGGGATTCTGGGAGTCGAAGTCCGCACATCTTCAACCTGCCAAGGTTGGGAAATTTAGATCATCAGGCCTCAAAACGGCCCCTCTAAAAGCCAAGAAAGATCTATTCCAATCATATATAGCATGTCTGCCTTTTAATTTTCTTTCACTAAGCAAAATTCCTAAAAAGTGTTGCATTGTTGAAACGGGCAATATAAATGGGACATATTGATCTTTCGTACAATATATGCTTGTTGCACAAATGTTTAGCCGGTGGTTCCTGGCAGGTCATGTCCTCAGCAACAGGGATGCACTAAAATTAAAATCTTGAAAAATCTGTGTACAATGAGGAATTCAGTGGAAGCAGCAAAGGAACATATGTCTTTCTCCCCCACCCCCAAAAAAAGCATTTTATGGATGTTTGGGGTGCGTTTAATAAGCGCTCTGCTGCTAGAGAAATTGTTCTCCATTTTCTCTTCCTGGTTTCAGTTTGCTTTCAAGAGCAGCCTCCCTTCTCATTCTTCTTAAAGAAGGAGCCCTGGCAGCATCAATAGGGTGTGATTAATTGCCTTTTGTTAGGTTGCCCTGGGTAACTGCCGGCTTGAGAAAGGCTAAAACTGCCGGGTGCATCTTGACGACCGAATGGCTGAACGCGCTTCCAAAACTTTCCATCTGGTTGCTGAGGTACGAGAGATACAGGATCCTACGGTGCTTTTAAAGTTGATTGTAATATACTAACTCTGGTTTTTGGAAGAAAAAAAAACAAACAACCCGCTCCTAAACGGATCTCTCGCAAGTTTTCCCAGACTGAAGGAAGGCCTCTGAATATGATACACCCCCCTGGGGTTGGTTTGTTTATTTAGTAATCCCATCCAACTAACTAAAGGATTTTGAACAAAGTTACGACAATATCCACAGGTTGAAGGCAAAACAACATTTGGCAGAAAACAGTTGGTAAAATAAGAAGCAGGAGCGTCCATTTGGGTAACTCGGAACGCCTAAAATAAGCAAAGATGGCATTTCTCTGCAGGCCAAACTGAGCTGCTTGCCTGCTTCACCAACAGGAACATCCCGGGGCTAAAACGTAGGAGAGCGCGGCCCGTGGGCGCCATCCTCTTCTGCGTCGCTCACCGTTGCCAAATTGTGAAGCAAATTGGCATGGCTTTGCTCGTTAGGGGAAACCGCTCCGAAAAAGAAGGAATGAAACTGGAAAATAAAAATAAAGGAATCATCGCTGGGACCTGGAGCCAAACCTAGGAATTGCATGTAGCGGTAACCAAGTGGGATCAAAGAACTGGATCGCACTGAATCTCGGGGTGATTTTTCGTTACCGGAAGGCCGGGCCAAACTCCGTTCTTTGCCACTCGCTCTCTTTCCCAACCGTTTTCAGCCAATTCGCTAGGATTAGAGAGAGCTACCGGATCGAATTCACTAAGGCAATTCGATTCTCCTCTCTCCTTCCACCAGCAGGGATTCCTTGTTTACCTTATCATAGTTGAGACCAGGTGTTTGTTCCTCTCCTGTGGAAGAGCCCTCCGAGGGAGCTGTGGACGCGTTTCTCCTGCAACTGGTGATGTGTTGATTCCTTCTCCCTCTGGCAGCAGGGCCCCTAAAAAACACCAGGCAGATGGATTTGTGTTGTGATTTTCCCTTCCGGTGCCTGGTTTTAGACGCTTCACCCTGGAGCTTTGTCTTGGAGGGGCCTCTAAGGGCTCCTTGGGGCCTGTCCTAAGATTATCTTCTTTCTGCCGAGTGGAGGCCCTATAGATGCATTGCACGCACCGTATTTGGGCAAGATGTTGGCAGGATCGGACAGTTTTAAGTAGGGAAGAGATTTGTAAAGACATTTGTAAAGACAACAACAGAAATGGATTACAACCTCTCAGTTACTTTGCTAAACAAGCTGCTGGCTGTTTCCTTACGTGCAAACTCCCCTTGCTTATTTAAGGGTCTTCTGTGGCTTTCAGTCACATCGTTGTTGAACGTTGTGAGGGGCAGTTTAAATTATTACGATTGTTTGTAACTGCGTTTGACTGGATGAAAAAGGTAATTTGCCCCCAAGGTCACCGCGAGGGACTTTTTCTCAGTCTGGCTTCTGCTCTGGCATGTAGACAGACCTGCCAAAGGCCTGACTTGGCTGCCTGCAGACCCTGGAATACACATATTGCTGCTTGGGATATTTTTCGGATGAGGACAAAAATATTTTTTAATAGGAAGTTCGTTCCAAGAACTTGACTTTTTTCCCTCCACTCTCCATACCAGGGAGGGAGAGATAAGGCCCCTTTACCTAAAATGGAGTGTTTTAGAAGAAAACCTGGCCTGCAAGTAAGATTACCTGTTTTGGCTTTGCTCAAGGCAGGTTGGTTTACTGGCCGTTGTGCAGCTTTCGGTGTCGGATAAAGTGGCCAAAACAAACAGGGCCTCTATTGCCGTATCCTCGATGCTGAAGGCGAGGGGCCTTGAAATGCAAAAAACATGCTAAGAGAGAGCGGGATAGGATGGATCTGAAGGGATGCAGGGGCCGGTTCGCCTCCCAGGCAGATGCATGAATGGAACAGTTTCCCAAATTGCATCCGTATTTCCGCTCCCCCAATCCCCGACTAAACCATAGTTTGCCAATCCATCTTAGCGCGATACAACAACGTTCCCTGCTAGCATTCAATTTTTCATTCGCCGATTGCAGGCCTCGAGATGCCGAAATAATGAAATAAAGCGGCAAATTCTCCCCACCGCCGAATAAAAAAGAATATTTGTAGCTTCCCCTGCCTCTCTTTCTCCCACCCCACCCCGCCTCCTATTGCAATCTCTTCCCTCCTCCCTCTCTTTCCTGCTCCCCTATTTGCATATGCAAATTAACAGCCCCAGGCACCTGCAGGATGCAAGACATGTTCCTGCTACCAAAATAGGCCTTCTAATCCCATCAGGGTTATAACAGTGCTGGAGCCTTACCTGTCTGTCTAAAGCAGGGGTGTCCAACCTTGGCAACTTTAAGACTTGTGGACTTCAACTCCCAGAATTCCTCCAAAGCTGGCTGAGGAATTCTGGGAGTTGAAGTCCACAAGTCTTAAAGTTGCCAAGGTTGGACACCCCTGGTCTAAAGGTTCTTAGAGAGGGCAGTCTTAAGAGAGGTACCTTTGTTTTCCCAAAGCCAGGAATTCCATTTTAATCAAGATCAATCACATGCTGGCTTATCTCCTCAACAATGGAACTTGGCTGCTTTGCTACAAAAGCAGAACCACTGTTTGCAACTGAAAACTTTTCCTTTGTTTAAACATGTCCCCAAAACATGTTGAATCTGGTTTCCCGCCTCAACCTCAAAATAACTATCAATGTCTTTCTAATGTAACGGTCTGCCTCGGAAAATAGGCACCCTATGATCATGGCAATAAACAGGTTATTCTCAGCACCGTGTTCCTTTCTTCCAGAAAAATTCCACCAAAACTGTCATGCTATTAGCGTGCATGCTTCTCCATGTTATATATGGTTCTTGTACGATGCGCGTAGGGCAATCCTTAGAAGTGTATATTTCTATTCCATAAATCTCATAAAAATGCATTTATGTACAAGATGCATCTCTTGTGGACACTTGAGGTAGTTTTAAATTCCTTCTCGCTAAACTTTTGAAGTTTTAAAGGATAAAGATCTACCTACTTTCCAGATACATCAAAGTGAATGGAGATTGGGGTGCTGAGAGCTTCTGCAAACACCAGAAGACCCTAAACATAAGGGAAAGAGCGGAGTTAATTCACTTCTCTTGGGGGAGGAAGAGAAAATATGAACTTCAGTGCTTGCCACTGCAGCGTTTATTACTAGATTTAAGGGCTACCTGGAGACATTTGGCCAGCCATGGCTGCATATAAAATGCTGGATTCTGTGGGGTGCTGAGCTTTGATAAAAGAACAGCATCAAAAGAATATCTGAGTAGCATTTGCTCCGCTATCCTTTCCTAATGCTGCTGTCCAAATGAGACACTCCACCAGATATTTATGAAATGCAGAATTAACCATATTACCCGAAGCTCTTTAAGGCAAAATGTGACCTCTGAATCTACTCCGACTTGAAAATATTCAAATTCAGCAGGGCTCAGATGA